GCTGGGATCTCTGACATGGGGTGGGTGGGTGGGGGGTTGGAATTGCTGTTAGCTGTCGCAAGCAGGCAGAATTCCCCGGGCCAAGCAAAGCCACAGATAGATGAATTCGGCGATGCCTGACCTTTACTGACTATAAATACAGGCAAGGTTGACCAAAAGGCAGCCTGCCACATGCAGCTCCCTGTCCAAGGCTGCCTGGAGAATATTAGGAAGAGACTAATGTGGCAACTGAACGGACGATGAAACTACGTGAATAATTGCGTAGTCACAGCAGAGCTGTATAAGAAAACTCCAATCCAAGCATTTGACCGCTGCCATGTTGCACAAACCAACTGGAAATGCCACACAGGCTGTATCAGGTGCTGAGATGTAAATCCAGCTCTGTCGTAACTGTCAGAGAAAAAGACATTTTGCTTTGACATCCTTTTTTTTATAATGTTCTAAAAACTGTTAGGGGATGCCTTTTTTATAAAATGCAACATTTTATTTGGTGTTGTTGTGCTGTTGCTGTGTCTTTTTATGCCACCCTCAATGACTGAGATGCATCATAAAAAAATCGACCACATCAAATATTTCCACATGCTGTAGTTTGACTTTTTAAATCCTATAACATTTTTAGTTTGGACACTGTTATTTTCTCTAACCTGTGACAGTGTAAGTTACATCCTGGGTAATATATGAAAAGGTCAAGGCTGAAGTACACCATTTATCTATCTTCTGGCTCATATCTGTCAGGGCTGTTGCCTATCTCCAGCACTCTATGTGCTAAAGGCGGGGTAGACTCTGGACAGGTTGTCAGTCCATATAGACATACAACCAAATATACACACACCTCTAAGGGGCAATTTAGAGACAACCAATCAACGTAGTCGTCAGAGTTTAGTACCTAAAGAGAACCTACCCATGTGAAGAAAAAATAAAACTCCATGCAGAAAGACCCGAGGCTGGAATTCAAAGCTGCAAGGCAACTACTGTGCATCACAATGCAGCCTGGCTTAAAGTGCACCCTAAACAAAAGACTTTGACAGTTATGTCCAAAGGCAGAGCACCCATAATAAATCTGGATGTAATGGTAGACATGCTTATCAGCTATGGATGTATAAAAGCGATGTGACGTATCCATCATACAAAAAGAGAGGTGCCATCACAAGTCAAAATAATATGTTATGAGTCAGTTACCAGAGCATCTGACGTCAGGCTATTAAGTGAAGGTCACCAAACTCAGAGAATGGCTCACAGATACATTAAATGGACTTGGTAGGTTTATAGGGGTCATACTAGAGGTAGACTGGTCGTATTATGGATATTCATCTGGCTGACTTTTTGGAAACAGTGAGGATATCACATGTGGACATCCAGGGGAAACCGTTGTTACCAAATCTGCTTTTTCGAAATTTGTAGCAAAGCCAGACTCAGATAAGCTCCGAGCTTCTTAAAAAGAGAAAACGTACAGTAGGGGAATGGCGGCCTAATGGTTAGGGCACAGAGCTTGGAATCCTGAGGTTCTGAGTTCAAGCCTCACTCCCACAGCCTGCCACTCTGGGTCTCTGAGCAAGACCCTTAACCCCACGATGGCAGCCCACTGCTCCCCGACGGGATGGGTTAAATGCAGAGGTATATTTCTCAAATGTGAAATCAATAAAGTTCAATTATTATTATTCATATATAATTTTTGTGCAGTGGTGGAGGCATCTGTGTAGAATTAACTGTGTGCTTAAGTGTTTTTTTATTTTAATCTAAATCAAGATTAAAACAGTTTTAAATTTAGATCATAATTAAATTGATATTGACACGCTATCATAAAAATGAGTGAATATGTGCATATCATTGTTATTTTTTTCTACATCTGACATGCTTAGTGTTTCAGGCTGTTTTATGCTGTAGTGTATATTTAGAGACTTGAAAGTACTTCTTATTCAGACATTAAACTGGCATCAAGATGCATTAAGTATTTACCTTCTTCAATACACTAAAGTGTTACTGTTGCTCTAGTTTTAGTATATTCAGATCAACCCCAGATATCAGCTCAGGTGTCTTATCGGTGCTCTTTTATTCCTCTCTAAGCTTCAGCGTACGGCTACCATTGTAGGAGAAATGCACTGGTCATTGAGTTTTATCACAAAAAAAAAGCCATGTTTCTTAACTATAAGATTAAGTTCAAGTTCAATTTTATTGATTCCTCAGGGAAATCTGATGTACAGCAGGAATCACAGCCGCATATTATCAAAAAACACTCTCTTGACATAACAAAGCAGGATTTAGCAAAGATACGCCAACAACAAAAACATAATACTACTTTTAGATAATTTAGTCAACAAGTCAGTAACTAGAACTACACTGATAAAGTAATGAGCTAAATTATGCATTGTAGATTAACGGGTAGCAAACACAACCGGGTTAGGAAGTAAGTTGGGTGTAAATATCATTATATCTAAACCCCCGCCACTCCACCTCAACCCTCCAACCTTCTAAAAATTGTAGCACATTGTGGCGGCCATCTTTCCCTTTCCGACAAAGTCAGAGCCAACTGTTAGGAAATCTTTCCACACATAGTGACATTGTAACAGCTTCTGAGGTAATGTTTTTCTTATGGTAAATAGTTGTTTCCATCTATTTAATAAAAGCAGTGGGATAATGTCATACACTTGACCTCATAGCATTTCCACCATGATGCCATTACTCAAGGTTATCATACTGTAAGCAGAGTGGGACTTCTCTTTACTCAGATGGGTGTAAGGAACACTGAGGTGATTTTGGTTTGCAAATATCTTTGATTTTGACTTACAAACAGATTTAACATACAGATTTAACATTAGAAATGTATTGTGCCATCCATTTTCCCCATCTTTCTCTTCAAAAAGCCTCAGGTTATCCTGCATTCCATGCCAGCTGTTATGCACCAGGTCAAAACATTTTCATTGTTGAATTTTTGTTTCATTATTAACAGATTTTTACCCTCTGCAGAGTGCATGTGAGTGTACTTCTGAAATTAATGAGCTAATAATAATAGCCTATTTGCAAATTTGAGTTTTATGTCATATGACATTTGTATGGCTGGGTTCATTTTTATTCCTGTTGCAGGACAGAAATGTTGTCATTACCTGCATCATCAATCATAATAGCTGCTCTTCCATAAGAAAACCCAGCAGAGAAAAGTTGCCCACATAAGCAGCAGTTCTGAGCATTAGTCTCAGTGGTGTAACACGGAGCTCAAGGTTTATTAGGCTGATTCTCAAGCTCAAGCAACCTTGAAAAAGTTAACTATCTCAATGACAATCTTTCCTGTGAACTGAACCAATATCTTTATCAACAACAACTGTGAGAACTACATCTATCCAATCTATAGAAATTTACACAGAATAGCAAAGCTTTAAAAGAAATCAGAAGCATATTTGTAGAGCAATGGGGCTCACCACTCAGGGAAACCTGAATCCTGGGGCAGCAATACCACAGTAAGCTGTTTCTTTTTCTATTGCATACCTCCAAGCTCAGCCAGTAAGGATTAAGTGCTGCTTAGTTTGAGTGATGGACATTGGTGGCATTTGATTTAAGAATTCAGATTCAGGTGTGTGGTTAATGGGTCTTTTTGAAAAAAAAAGAAAAGAATGAATATTAGTTTTTTATTTTGATAATAATCTAAAATGCTTAGATTGTTTATGCATTGTTATCTACTGAGAGGAAATCTTTGAAATCACAGAGCTGCCACTGCAACTAGTTAAACAGGAAATCTGCATTGTAAATAAACAATCAAACCAGCAGATTGGAGCTGTCATTGATGTCAGACATGTATCTCAGGGAACTGTCAAATATGAGGCAGAATGAATTTATTGCAAAATGCAAACTAATCATCATCAGTCGGCTTACTTTAACAGCTGTAAAATCAGCCCCTCTAGTCTTCCTCATTCTGCACATTGAAGCCTCACGCATTCCTGTTTCTCTTTCCATCTCACCGGCTGCTTTGTAATATCTCATTATTTTCCATCTGTGTGTTTGCCTCTCTTCATCTGATAACACCTGCCTCGCCTAAGAACCTACCGCCTCCGCCGTCTATGACGACTGGCTTCCTGGACCTTGTGTGTTCCCCATACTGAGTTCTTTTTTTCAGGGGGGGGGGGGGCATTTTAGCGATTGATGCTCCCTGTCTGCTCTCAGAATTGCGAGGTTAAATCACGCCGAGCAGCCTGGCTCCGACTCACTCAGTGACTGAGTGAGAGAGCTCGTCACTTCCAGCCTGTCAGAGTCTGCGAAGCCCTCACTACCCTGCCAGCCTGTCATTATCTCCACTAACGGGGCCCCTTCGTTTTCTTCACCCCCTCTCCGCTGCTCTCTCGCTTCGCGCTTCTCTTTCGCTCTAATCGGATGATTACAGGATGTTTCCGTCAGAATTCAACTTTTGAAAAGGTGAGAAAAGTTTCTAATGCAGGCACATAAACTACAAAGAGACAATAAACATGCTTTAAAGTAAAAGATGTGAAATGAGAAGGCCACGTACAAACTTCTGAAATCTGTTATATCACATTACCAGATTTATCTGTGGGAAGCTTCAGCATTTTCATAAAAAAGTATAAATTCACTGAAAAAAATCGGCAGATGACCAGAATCCGATGATTTTCTACTTGATCAACCAGTTGAAAATTCTAGCTCATATCTTTTCTAATCAGTGAATTTCTCCCCAAAAAGCAGAACAGAACGCAGGACTATATGTTGTTATACCCTTGTGCGCTTTTAATCTCTTTCTTCATTTGGAAATGGTGGATCTGAAATTGATTAGTCTTTTACAAATCTCAGTATTAAGGTGAGGATCTACATTCCCTGGGGAATACACATAAAACGAGTTGTTTATAGTTCCAAATGTTAGTTTGCTAATTACCAACTTCACCTTTCTATGTTCTTTAACAGAAAATCCAGTTTGCTAAAAAGCAACTCAAACCTTTAAAAAACTGGAGATCAGAAATTGGCTGCAAATGTTTGACTGATGCATCTGGAGAGTTAGCTCTTACCGTGGTTGGATTTGGAGGCATGTACAGGGGTGTAGTGGTTCTTGGACGAGGTTCTGACTGGCGTGTTATCTTTTGGTGAGCCGTTCATCGCTGCAAAATTCTCACAGTCATATTGGGAAATAGGGATCGGCCCCTGCTGCCTCAGAATATCTGCAAGGGCCCTGGAAAATGCAACACAAGAGCAACTGTTACTCACAGCACAAAAAAATAAATAAAGGTTTGTGTGCTTCAAAACGGCTCTGCTAAAATTACTTCTGTCTTTCTTTTTCCGTACAACTGGGGACGTTGTGATAGTTAATTTGCGAGAGGAATAAACACGGGATGTGCACACATCTCGACTAATTGGGTTGAATTTGGATGTTTTTCAGACGGCACCAGGTGCATATGGAGGGCTGAAGCCCTCAAGGGGGGGGGGGTGCTGGGAGGAAACGGAGAGAGAAGCAATCATGATGAAAGAAAGTTTAAAAAAAACTGTTTGTTTGCTTGTTCTGGCATGGCTTTTGGAATAGAGGGGGTGAAAAAAGAAGGAAATCTAATTACATTTGCAGAGCTGCAGCTCAAAGCTTTTGTACAACAAATGTATGAGCAGTGTAACCTTTGCTTTTAAATTAATACTTCACCTCCTCTTCCCCTTTCATGTCTGCAATCTTTCTCCTGCACTCTATTGAATGTGCAGCAGCGCATGCATGCCGCACGCCCTTGATGCATCCCTTAACGTTAACACTATCCATTATTCACAGGATAAAGGCTGCTCAGGTGTTGAATAATGCATCCAATAAAAACTGTTCAGTGTCAGCGTTGTTTTTGGATCTCGGCACAACATACGAGAGGAGGCGTGAACCAGCCACTCAGTGTTCATCACGTTGAGCGGTCATGTCAAGATGCACCCATGAACTCATCAGACAGAGGGCGGAGGCAGTGGGGGTGGAGATTTAGAGCTGGGTGCTGAGGAATGATGTTTGAATACTGACCGCTCTGACTTATCTGCCACACAAGTTAAGTACCTGAGGTAGTGTGAGATAGTTGCAGGGTGAAAAAGGAAGGTAAGGCGTTAATTCCTCAGCAACACACACTTCCATCAGCCTGTGACAGCTCTTTTTCTTTTCCTGTTCAATTATTTCAGGCTTTTGCTTCTTTGGGATTTAATGTCTGCAGCAAGAGTTTAGAAATGTGGCGGTGGCGACAGATAACAATCGCCTTATCAAAAGTTTAACCGTCAGCCTCATTTGTGCATTCCCAATGTAGTCTTCCATTAAATATGACCTTTGATCTCCTTGCAGATAGATTTATAATTAGAGAAATGTTTAAAGTGATGTTTCTGATTCCTTAATAAAGGATAAAGAAGAAGATGGATTTCTCAGACTCACCTGTGTATGTTCATTTCCTGAGGTGGCTCTGTAGCTTTGTCATAAGCCACTTTCACCGACACCCCCAGGACTATGATGAAGGCTATGACCCCGCAGGTGATGTAGACCGCTGTGTTCGTCGGATCCATGATATCTCCATACTGGCTGGTCGGGATGGGCGTTGGGGCAACCGTCTGCACCCACGGTGGCTTCTTGTCATTCTTGCAGAGCTTTTGCTCCAGTCGGTCCTTCATGTACTCGCAACAGAAGCGCAGGTAGCAAGTCCCGCAGCAGTAACGGTGGTTCGTGTTGTTGCACTCGAACATCTTGTCATACTGACCACTCACGTCAAAGTAGCCAAGGCAGGTGTCGTGGTCTCTTGCGGGCGCTGGCTGTGGGGTCTTCTCAGGAACGACCGTGGGGACCACTGTGGCTTTGGGGGCCTTCCTAGGCACCTGTTTGGGCTTTTTACCAGCCGTGGCTGCACTCAGGACGCAGAGGGGGTCCAGATATATAATCAGCAAGAGAATGTGTTTTATCCCCATGGCAAATGACACACTAAAGTACTTTATGTAGGCAAAAAAAACACTTTTTAACTTTGGTTTAACATAAAAAAGGATTAATTAGATTCTTGCACTGTTCACACAGTTTCTTGTGAAATCATTTTGAAAAGCTGGACGCAGATGGTCTTCAAGGGCATTCTCAGCTTTTTTTCACTCAGTGAATAATCTAAAGCCCATTGCGAGGGATTGGAGAGCGCTGACAACAGAACGCCACGTCCCGATGGGGACAGGGGGCTGTGGGAAGCCCGGGCTCCGAGCTCTCCTCCTGCTGAGCTGCGGCGTGTCTCTGTCCAAGGTGCTGAAAGCCGGAGATCCAGCCACTAAAGTCAAACTCAAACTGGGAGGGAAATAAATACACTTAATTATTTAATTCGGGATTACATCACATAACTAAAAGCTCGTTAATTAATAAACATGCTTCTATTTGAGCCTATATAACTAAGTAGTTTTGCGGATGTTGGTTAACTGCTTGTTTTTTTTTCCAACTAAACAACATGACACCCACACAGAGCAAAACGACCGAACACATTGATGCTGTTTCAGGGTACTTTAGTCTGTAGCCACAGCGCAAAACTAAACAAGATAATATAAGTATAAGTTTTGTTTAGCTGGTACTTTTAAAGCCCTGTTTTCAGAGTCGGGAGGATAAAAAGCAGCCTACCTCTGATTGGATCCCCGCTGGGGACTCGCTCCCTCTCTGGGTCTCCGAAAATGAGGAGCAGATCAGAGCTCCGAGCAGCTCTGTCACTCTCTCTCCCGTCTCTCCGCACTTCTTCCCTTCTCCCTCCCTCCCTCCCTCTCTTACATCACTTCAGTGCTGGCGTCAGAACTCAGCCAAGTATCGGTAAATTGCGCCTCCCTCTCTGCCTCCCTCCTCCGCCTCTTGCTTCATAAAAGTAAGACCCGTTTATTGGCATCAGCACGTCTAAATTAAACGGCGGTTCGCAGGTCTCTGTTTTCAGTACACGGTGGGCACTCTACTCACACGTTGTACTTGTTTATTTCCCCACACAGTCTTTCTGGCAGATTCATATTCCATATAATTACGGAAAATTCAGTTTGCATTTGGGAGTTGAAAGTTCCGATTATAAAGCGGAAAAATACAATGAAATACCCAATAAAACCACAATTTTATGATCTATCATGATTACAGATCTTCTAAAAGCAGAAAAAGTTGGAGGAGAAAATCATTTGCATTTCATCAGCACCCTAACATCAGTTGTTAATCATCTTGTTTTATTTAATTTGTATAAAATTCTATTGTTATTTAATTAGTCCAGACACATAACGGAATAGCATATCCCACTTCTTTTGCAACTTTTTACATTAACATTGTTCATACTCGGTTATGTTTTCACTGGAAAATAACAACTTTAAAATTTCATTTTAAAAATTAAAGTAGACTTTCTGCAAATTTCAACTCTGAAATCTTGAAAATGCAACAAAGGAAAATTAAGTTAAAATCCAATATGGCTGCACGTCTTTGGAATATAGTTATAGCTGCAGAAATAAGCAGTTTTCTGCTCATATGTTTGCAAGTGCTATTTATGGTGCTACAAACTATTCTCCTATTGTCAATTATCTAGTTTTCATATTTGTGTGAGGATGTTAAACTGGAGGGTAGTATATTGTTACATGCATTGCTAACTAAAGTGTTACTATGAAGAGTAAATAGAATATTCCACATGCTTTCCAAGTAATACATAGAACATCAGTGCTTTACGATTTTCCTTGGACGTTTGTATATTTGCAGTTCTCATGACTAAAATCAAAAGAGTTGGAATGTTATCTTAAAATAATTAGAGCCCTCCACCCAATTGCCCACCTTAATATCCTATATGTACCTGAAGCTCACATATAAAACTTATTGAAAATGTTCCTAAATTTACATACATTGTTTAATTTATCTAATTTAACTTTTCAATTGTTATTGTGTGTTTTTTACTACATAAAGTCAGGTGAAATGTTTTATGAAGCTTGTTTTCATAACAGAGGAGCATACATGAATCATAAGACAAAAATTAGACAAAAAAACCTTAATTCAGCCTCACCTGTCATCCAATCACCCTTTGATGCTCCTTGGCCCTGGCAAAGCCTCCAACATTACCAATGGTCATCTAGAACTCTGCTTTGAAAGATAGAATTCCTCCAATGAATTGCTGATGCTGATGCACCAAGCTGCAAATCTCCTTCACCCCATCTTTACCATCATCCCAATTGTCATCTGACTTCCTTCCTCTGTCAGCCTCCATTCCACCATTAGGCCCCTGGGAGGAAGATGTACCTACCATAATCTATCTGCTAAGTCATAACGTCATAACTCTCTATGCTTATGCTTATATCTTCCACCTGGGTCTGAGCGCCAAAGGCTATATTTCTCATTTAAATAAAACTCTCTAATTTTCGCCTATTCTGGGTGAGTCTTCGCAGGTTGACATGCAACATATCTTTTATTTTTATTTTAACCTGTGGCATTTTAATGTACCATCAAATTAGACTTAAAATAATAATCTAAAAGCCCCCTGAATTCCGATATTTTACAATTAAACCCTACAAGCTCCAACCCACACCTGTATGGGCTCCAGCACATACAAAACTTTATTTTATGGTATGGTATGGTATGGTATGGTATGGTATGGTATGGTATGGTATGGTATGGTATGGTATGGTATGGTATGGTATGGTATGGTATGGTA